CTCCCACTTGCGCACTCTTTCTAAAATAAATTAACAGACATTAAAAAAAAAAAAAAACCCTCTAAGAGAAAGCCGTAGGAGTAAATCTTCACGACCTTCCTTTAAACAAAGACTTCTTAGATCTGATACCAAAGGACAAGTGACAAAAGAAAAAAATAGATTAGACTTCATATAAATTAAATACTTTGTGTTGCAAGTGTTACCATCAAATGACAATCATAAGAATGAAAGAAAATATTTGTAAATCATATATATTATTGTATCCAGAATATGTAAAGAATACTCATCAATAAAAAAAAAATCACTTGATTAAAAAATATACAAAGGATAGGACACCTGGGTGGCTCAGCAGTTGAGCGTCCACCTTTGGCTGAGGGCATGATCTCCAGTCCAAGGATCGAGTCCCACATCAGGCTTCCTTCCTGCCTATGTCTCTGCCTCTCTGTGTGTCTCTCATGCATAAATAAATAAATAATTCTTTTTAAAAAAATTTACATAGGATTTGAATAGACATCCCCCCAAGAATATACAAATAACCTATAAGCACTTGAAAAGATGCTCAACATCGTTCATCATTAAAGAAATGCAAATCAAAACCACAGTGACTTACCACTTAACATCCACTAGGATGGCTACATTCAAAAACAAATAACAGGGATCCCTGGGTGGCACAGCGGTTTAGCACCTGCCTTTGGCCCAGGGCGCGATCCTGGAGACCCGGGATCGAATCCCACATCAGGCTCCCGGTGCATGGAGCCTGCTTCTCCCTCTGCCTATGTCTCTGCCTCTCTCTCTCTCTCTCTCTCTATCATAAATAAATAAAAATTTAAAAAAAAAATTAAAAAAAAACAAATAACAATTGTGGGTGATACTGTAGAGAAAGGGAAACCATCATACACCAGTAAGATATAAAATAGTGCAGCCACTTGAAAAAGTCTAGCAGTTCCTCAAAAGTTTAAACAGAGAATTAATTATCTTATGACCTAGTAATTCCATTCCCAGATATATACCTGAAAGAAATAAGATAGGGACACCTAGATGACTTAGAAGTTGAGCGTCTGCCTTTGGCTCAGGTCCTAATCCCAGGATCCGGGATCGAGTCCCGCATCAGGCTCCTTGCAGGGAGCCCATTTCTCCCTCTGCCAGTCTCTGCCTCTCTCTGTGTCTCTCATGAATAAATAAATAAAAATTTAAAAGAGAGAGAGAGAGAGAGAGAGAGAGAGAGAAGATATCCAGATATCCAGGGCACCAGAGTGGTTCAGTTGGTTAAGTGTCTGCCTTCAGCTCAGGTCATGATCCCAGGGTCCCAGGATCAAGTTCCACACTGGGTGGGAGCAGAGAGCAGGGAGCATTGCTCAGCAAAGAGTCTGCTTCTCCCTCTGCCCTTTCCCCCTGCTTGCGATCTCTCTCACTCTCTCTCTCAAATAAATAAAGTCTTAGAAAAGAAAAGAAAAGAAAAGAAAAGAAAAGAAAAGAAAAGAAAAGAAAAGAAAAGAAAAGATCCACACAAAACTTGCACATAAATATTCACTGTAGTATTATTCCTAATAGTCAGCCTTTGGATTGTAGAAACAACTCAAATGTCCATCAACTGTTGAACAGATAAATATTATTTGACAATAAAAAAGAATGAAGGGGCACCTGGGTGGCTCAGTGATTGAGCATCTGCCTTTGGCTCAGGGCATGATCTAGGGTCCTGGGATAGAGTCTCATATCAGGCTCCCTGTGAGGAGCCTGCTTCTCCCTCTGCCTATGTCTCTGCCTATGTCTCTCATGAATAAATAAATAATATCTTTTTAATTAAATAAATAAAAAAGAATGATGTACTGATATATGCTATGACATGGATGAAAGTTTAAAATAACTGTGCTAAGTAAAGCATTATTCACAATAGCCAAGATATAGAAGCAACCCAAGTGTTCATCCACAGATGAATGGATAAAAAAGATGTGGTACCTATACACAATGGAATATTACCCGGCCATAAAAAAAAAAATGCAGTCTTGTCCTTTGCAACAACATGGATGGACCTAGAGGATATAATGCTAAGTTAAATAAGTCAATCAGAGAAAGACAAATACTATATAATTTCAGTCATATGTGGAATTTAAGAAGCAAAACAAAGAGACAAACCAAAAAACAGATTCACATACAGAGAACTGGTGGTTGCCAGAGGGGAAGCAGGTGGGAAGATGGGTGAAATACATAAAGAGAATTAAGAATACACTTATTGGGGCAGCCCAGGTGGCTCAGCGGTTTAGCGCCGCCTTTAGCCCAGGGCGTTATCCTGGAGACCCAGGATCGAGTCCTACATGGAACCTGCTTCTCCCTCTGCCTGTGTCTCTGCCTCTGTCTCTCTCTCTGAGTCTCTCATGAATAAATAAAATCTTAAAAAAAAAAAAAAAAAGAATACACTTATTGGGATGAGCACTGAGAACTGTACAGTTGTTGAATCATTATACTGTATTTCTGAAACCAATATAACACTGTATGTTAATTCTACTTCAATTTTTGAAAAAACAATTATGCCAAGTGAAAGAAACCAGTAACAAGTTATGATTCCATTTATATGAAATGTCTAGAATAGACAAATTCACAGAGACAGATAGTAGATTAGTGGTTTCCAAGGGGATGAGAGATAGAGAAATGAAAAATGACTACCAATAGGTAGGATAATGAAAAGTTCTCCAACTCTTTTCTAGGGTAATGAAATGTTCTAAAATTAAATAGTGGTGATGGTTGTACAACTCTGTGATTATACTAAAAACCAATAAATTGTACATTTTATTTTTTTCCCTTCCTCTAAAATGTACATTTTTAAAGGCTGAATTTGAAGGTATCTGAATGCTATTTCAATAAAGGTATTATAAAATATTATATATGTGATTTCATTTACATGTGGAATCTAAAAAAGCCAAATGCATGAAGCACAAAACAGAAAAGTGACTGCCAGCGGCTAGGGGATGGGGAAAAATGAGACATTGGTCAAAGAGTGCAAACTTCCAGTAGCATAATATCATAGTGACTATAGTTAATGATACTGTATCATATACTTCAAAGTTGCTATGACAGTAAGTTTTAAATGTTCTCACCATAACCACAACAAAATGGTAATTATGTGAAGTGAAGAATGTGCTATCTTTATTGTGGTAAACATTTCACAATATATACATGTGTCAAATGATCACCCTTAACACCTTAAACTTATGCAATGCTATACGTCAATTATGTCTCAATAAAGCTGGAGAAAAAAAGACATACTATATGATACTATTTATATAAAGTTCAAAAACAGCCAGGATTAATTTATGATATTAAAAGTAAGAGAGTGGCTAATTTTAGGTGGGAGACAGGAGGTAATGAATGGGAGGAGGCACAAGGTACACAGGTGACAGCAATGTTTTATTTCTTTGGTAATGATCACTTTGTGATTCTTCATAGAGCTATACAATTATGATCTATGCACTTTTCTGTACATAATTTTAAGATTTTTTTAAAAAGAAACATGGTTTTTATTTTTAAAAATTTTACTTGACAATATACTAAGACACTTTAAAATAAAAAAAAAAATAGCTCTTTAGGGGCACCTGTGTGGTTCAGTCAGTTAAGCATATGCCTTGGGCTCAGGTCATGATCCTAGGGTCCTAGAATCGATCTCACATCAGGCTCCCTGCTCAACAGGGAGTCTGCTTCTCTCTATACCCCTAACCCCTGCTTGTGATCTCTCTCTAATAAATCTCTAAAAGAAAAAACAGATCTTCTCAAGGACAATATTCATTGCAACAACAGGAAAAAATAACTATTGTTAATATGAAAGGATAAATTAACTGTAATAGATATTAGCAATAATGAGCTTCACTAAGGATCTAAGTTAAAAACAAAGGGGAAAATGAACAGAGTTTGTGTCAGATGATATCGGCTCAACATTTCTCCATGTCCACGTAGACATTATTTAGAAATTTCATGGGGATCTTATGAGAAAGAAGAGAAATTGTGGAAAGTGCCTCCCTCACACATAAAATAAACACTAAACGTCTATCAAATGTTTGTTTACTTCCCTTCACGCCAACTCTTTCAATAACCCATACTGTTTCTAAAAATGTGGGTATATTTTCCACTTCTCAGGACGTCCTTCATTCCAACTTCTACTTTATTTGGCCTCAAGTCACTCATTCTAACACCAAACTTGAGACTCATCCAATCCTACCACCATCTAAGTCTTCTATAACAGAATTTTCCTGCCTTCCCACTGCAGCACAGATCAACCTAAAAGACATAAATCCTACTTTTACCCACAATAATTAAACTTGCTAAATATATCCCAGACATTTCTTCTTTTTTATATAGCTATGATATGTAAATCATTCAGATTTGTCTGCAAAATAATTTTTAAAGCTATTTAGAGATTTTTACCAACAATGGACTTTTAAAATAAAGTCTGAACTACATTTCATTATTGGGAATAAATATTAACTACCACTTCTCTTTTTTCTTTAATACTTTATTAGCTTTAAATTTTCGGCCTAAAAGATTCTAGTTAAAGATGAACCTTTATAGGGATGCCTGGGTGACTTAGTGGCTGAACATTCAGCTCAGGGTGGGATGCCAGGATCTGTGATCGAGTCCCGCACTGGGCTCCTTGCAGGAAGCCTGCTTCTCCCACTGCCTAAGTCTCTGCCTTTCTCTCTCTGTAACTCTCATGAATAAATAAATAAAATCATATTTTAAAAAAAATGAACCTTTATAAATTAAATTTTTTGTGTTTTCACAAGTCACATATTTAATAAAGAAATTAAATGCTGAGACTTTAGTACCAAGGAGCCCCTTTTCTTCTAGTCACGAAAAGGTAAAGGTTCATTGTAGCGCAAAGCCAACAGCTATTCTTTCAGGCAGGGACTTCAGAAGAAAATGTAAAGAAAAAGAATGCCACACATTAATATTAGCACTTAAGGCCAGCAGAAAGGGATGAATGGTGAAAATGGATACAAAATAATACTTACAGCCTCAAACTGCAAATGGCTATCCTTTAAGAAATTTCGAATTTTGTCTTTGGGTAAAATACTGAATCGAAATCGAAGAAGATCCATTTCTTGTTGAATGAACCAGCGTCTAAGATCCTCACTGAAATGGAGACAGGGAAATGGTAAGTATAAATGAAAACCCCAATGGTTATTTTAAAAGCCCACTGACAGAATCCCTGGGTGGCTCAGAGGTTTGGCGCCTGCCTTTGGCCCAGGGCATGATCCTGAAGTCCTGGGATTGAGTCCCACATCGGGCTCCCTGCATGGAGTCTGCTTCTCCCTCTGCCTGTGTCTCTGCCTCTCTCTCTCTGTGTGTCTCTTATGAATAAATAAAATCTTTAAAAAAATAAATAAATAAAAGCTCACTGATTATTAAATCCAAAAAATTTTTATGAAGTAAAATTCACACACAAGCAAGATGCCAACAGACAGAAGTTAAAAGCATACAAGTCCTCTATTATGATAAAGAGTATAGCCACATACCACAATCTTCCAGGGATGTGCTTAACATGGGGAAGGATATTATGAATATAAAATTAAAAGAATTAAATACAGAATACCTTGAGTCTAGCTGATCATCAAATAATATAAAAGAAAATAGTTCATGCATTTAAGTGCAAAATAGTCATTTACATCAGAATACAGGATATTCTTTCAGTCTAAGGTGGTTTCACCAATGCCAACTAAACACCAAATTTTTTAAAGATAACTTGATCTCTGAATAGGTTATGATCAGAGCAACTCTGAAAGTAAACTTTGCTTACAGCTTTATAGTTTATAATTCCACAAAATTTAATATGTGCAAGTATACCTCAAATTTTTAAAAGCCAACATATAAACATATTAATTCATAAAATACATAATGGACATTATTGTCACACAAAAACTATACTACTGCATGTAAAATATGATTTAGTTTTTTTTCCAAAGTGACTTTCAGAGATTGTCAGCAATTCATTTACTGCATAAATTACGTAAACTGGACATATGTTTTTACAAAAGAAAAACTCCAAAACCAAACATGGTCAATAATTTCTCAGTTATTATCTTGTGATAGTAAACAATTTCAGGATTCTCATTTGATAAGCCTACTAATAGAAAGAAAGAGGAAAAAAAAAACTTAAAATAAGTATGTTATGCAGCCAAAATTAATACAGAAAAAGAACACAAAGTTTAAAAAAAAAAAAAGGCAACTAACTCCTTCTCCCTCTGGGTGGCACTATATTATAACAAACCAACTAGCAAAAGAAAATATCTTAATCTAATGGGCACTAGCCCATACATCTCAACTCCTAAAAATCTGTACCAAATACAAAGGTATGTTTGAGTCATTCTTTTTTTTTTCTTTTAAGATTTCAATTATTTATTTGAGAGAGAGAGAGAGAGAGAGAGAGAGAAATTGAGCATGAGCACAAGCAGGGGGAGTAGCAGGCAGAGAGAAAAACTAGACTCCCCACTGAGCAGGGAGCCCAATGTGGAACTGGATCCCAGCACCCTGAGATCATGACCTGAGCCAAAGGTAGATGCTCAATTGACTGAGCCACCCAGGCATCCCTGAGTCTTTATTTCTTATAAATAGTGACACTTTTTTTGTTTTCTGGGAAAGCAAAAGCCCTTCTTACTGAAATCCCCTCCAATTTCAAATCCCAAAGGAAAAAGCTGTCCCATGAAGCTAACAAGTGTTTCAACAGGTAAATTTTACAACAGTATTTTTTTCAATATTTTTCAGTAAACAACTGGCTTCAAACAATTCACTATAGCAGTGTTCAATCATGAATCGCCAGTTTCTGATGTTATTCTGGGTTTTTCTATGGTCAGTACAATATATGTCAGCTTCCCATGTACCAATTTATAACCCAAGATATCAGATTCGACTGTGAGACTGTAAATGTGTACTCACGACTGGCAATAAGCAAGGCGTAAAATGAAGTGAGAAATATGATCTTTTCTTCGTGGTTCATACTCATCTTCTAAGCTTTCCTTAAGAATAATGGCACATGAATAAAATAAATGCATTAGAATGGTAACAAGTATATAAAGAAATAGAGATAGCATAAGCCAATGGTAAAGTAAAAGTTTCAAAAACAAATTTCATAAATATGCCCTCCAAGGTAATCACCATTTTACTTGTTAGCCATTAAGTGAAAATGAAAACTGAACTGATCTCAACAAAACCCCCTGGGTTTGGACTCTACTCTTTTCTTCCTATCAACCCCTCTCTTAACTTCCTTTCTTACCCAGCCTATACCCAGGTTTCTCATCTCTTCAAACACCCCTTGCATCAACCTTCAACTGCTTTCATTTAACCATCTGGCAAAAACCTAGATTTTAAATAAATCTACCGCTACACTCTACAGATCTATTCCCAAAATACTGAGAACCTCTTGGGGAATAAAATACACAATTACTGAGAATTTGGAATATTAAAATTCACAACCTCTAACATGTACAAGCACCAAGTGCTTATTTAAGTTCAACACAGTAAGAGTGAGCAGTCTTGAGCACTTACGAGGTACCAGGCACTATTATAACCATTTTTAATCTTATTAACCCATTTAATCCTTTAAAAAAAATCTGAGGTAAGTACTACTATATCCCTATTTTAAAGATGAGGAAACTGAGGCACAGGGATGTTATATAATTTTTCCAGGGTCACAATGCTTATAAGCAATAGAAAAGGGTTTTGACACATAATCATGTTTCCTCACTCTTAGAAAAGCTGTTTCAGTCTTCAATTGTTAAGCTAAGCTCCCTACCACACCACCTTCCTGTTCTCTCTCAACAGATAACTTCATCTAGTTTACAGAAAATAAAGGCCACCAGGCCAACTTCTTCAGCTCCAAGCTTCTGCATCCACACTGTACTAGTGTCCCTTCCATCTCTGTGGACAAAAGATCTCTCCCTCCTCCTACATCAGCTAATCCCTAAACCTAAGCCATGAAATCCACCTGCTCTTGCCTCCTAAGTACCTTGATTTATCAAATGCTCTCTCAAATTATCTTGAAATTCTGCTCCTCTTCTCTCTTCTAGGTTCTTCTCTCTCTCCGTCACTCAGTTTATAAGCATGTTCAAGTATCTCCCATCATGTTTGTAGGCCTTCTCTTTTCCCTATAAATTCTTCTATATTCAGATCTATTTCTCCTCTCTTTTCAGCTAGCCATCTTACAAGAGTACATATTCTGTACCCACCTCTCTCCTCCAAACACTGCCATCATTTTGGCTTCTGCCTCCGTCTACAAGGCTCCATCAAGCTGGATTTATCAAGCTGATAAATCCAATGGTTTCTGTACCATTCATCTTACATGGTCCTAAGCTTCTGAAATATGTAGTTAAAGGTACCACCATCATGGAAACAAAATGTCCAGATTTGAATCTTGGCTCTGCCACTTATCGTCCTATAAGCCTGGGTCAGTTACGTAGCTTATCAGTAACTCCATTCTCTTATCTATAAAATAGTGGTGACAATTGTACCTGCCTCATAAGACTATTAACTGGATTACATGGGTTAATATATGTAATATGCTTAGAATGAACTCTGGGATACAATAAGTAGAATAAGAATGCTTCCTCTTGTTATTTCTATGGTATTGGAATTTATATCACGATCATTATGATGTCAGCTCCAGCCCTCCTTGGCTACCATGACACTATCATCCCTGCTGATCTACCTCTCTGGCAATTCCTTCTCAATCTCCTTCCTAGACTCCCCCAAATCTACTTCACTTCAAATATTGGTATTCTTCACATCCTGTCCATCATCATCTTCTCATTCAAATATTTTCCTCCTCCTGATACCAACCTTCCTCTTTAATCTATATTCCCACTCCAGGTGTCTCCTAAATCTAACCTGCACGTATACCCAACTATCCACTAAGCATTTCCACGAGCACCTCCAATTCATGTTTAGAACTCAACATCTTCCTTCTAAGACTTGCTTCTCTTTCTGTATATATCACCTCTCAAACTACTATCACCTTCCACCTACTTGTCCTAACCAAAACCTGGGAGTCATTCCTAATTCTCCTCTCCCTGCAATGTCACTAGAATCTGTTCATTTGACCTTCATAATATCTCTTAATATCAGTCCTCTTCTCCCCATTCAATTCACTCTCATTATTTCCAGGTTACCTGTTTTTCCTCCTACCAGATATGGCCCATTCAATCTGCTGTTGGCAGTCATCTTCCTAAAATAAAAATCTGATCACATCTATCAGATTCAGTTCCAGCACTAGCAAGAACTGGGATGTCTTCCCAAACCTCCCCAATGTGAGCTGGGTAATCCTCTGTGCTCTTGAAGTTCCTAGGGCATCCCTCATGTTGTGGTGCACAGGGTACATCTGGCAATGTCTACAGATATCTATTGGACAGAAGCCAGAGACACTACTGAGCATCTCCCTGCACCAAGGAATTATCAGGCCCAAATGTCAATAATCCCAAGGTCAAAAAACCCTGCTGTATTATGATCATCTGACTACATGTCAATCACCCCTAGTGGGCTGCAGATATATCTTCAGGCAGAGTCTATGCTATATTAGTCTTTTTTAAAGCCCTGGGCCTAATCCAAGATCTTTTCCACAACCAAGACTCACTACAGAAATATATACAAACTGAAGAACATTTCTTTCCCGCTTTTACTTACTCTGAAGGAAAACTTGAGCCTTCTGATCTCATTCTCCAACTTACTTTGGTATGGCTCAATTCCTTTCACATAGCTTACACCAAGATTTTCAACTGCTTTTAGCACTAGAAAATATTATAAAAAGAGAAGAGAAAATGTATGAATGCAAGGTAATTTTTAAAAACTAGGTCCCAAGACAAATGAATGGCAATTCCATAATTACTTGTTTTTAAAAGATGACAAGTTGTAACACCTTTATTTTCTGTAAGTACATTATACAAATTACATAAATTTATAAGAAGATAATCTCCATCCATGTGCAGAAAATATCCATGTCCCATAACATAATCTAATACCAGGGATTCTCAAGCAGAGGGAGAGGGATGGGGGATAATTACTCTGGTACTGAGCCACCACTGTCAAGGAATTCATGTGTGCTGGCATGAAAAAAAAATTAAGCACCCTTGTTTGCATCCCTAACGTTGTTTGTCAGTTTGCTTCACTGACTCAGCATAGACTCCTCAGAAAAAATAGCCCTTCCTTTACTGATGAAGTAGAGAAGAAGACAGAATAGTAAAGAAGCAAAGCCCTCCCATGTACTAAATGAACTGCCCTGAACAGAGGCACATATCTTTCAAAGGTTTCCAAAGTACCTTTTCAATCCTTCCTCAGAAGAATTCTACTTCCATCAATATGAAAAGCATTTTGATAATTCAACAATGAAAAACATCTAAAATGAATCCTGAACATAAACCCATGCCCCACAGGTACATCATGATGGTATCCCAAACTAAACTAATTCTCTCCCCTTCAGTCCTACTCCTCTTCCTGCCATCCCATCTCCACTAGCACAGGTTCTAAGCACCAGGTCATCCCAACTGAAGTTTCAGCCACTCCCACCTGCCCCTCCACTCCTCACATCCAAATAATCACCAACTCCTCTCAGGAACACCTCCTCAGTATCCTGTAAATCACTCCCTTCCTATTCCTGACACCATTACTGCCTTAATTCAGGCCCTCATCATCTCACCCCATAAATGCCAAACTCAAAGGGCACTTTTCAATCATCATCTTAATCTATGAAGCATCTGACACTGCTAAGCTTCCTAAAACCCCTTTCTCTCCTGTCTTCACTCTTTCACTCCACAGGCACTGAGTGCTCTCTTTCTGTATTAGCAGGTGCCACTCTACTCCTCTAAAAGTGACTAATATTAGCTCACTTTACCTTCTGATTTTCCCACCAGGATATCCTGGAACATAAACTCAGAAGACACTGCTACTATTTCTGCTTCAGTTCACACCCAGTTTCTTTCTTTCTTACACTAGCACACAGAGGATAAGCAGGCCAGCAGTACAAGTGCCACATCCTCCTTACACACCGATATTACACCATTAGCTTGGCACAAAATGCCCTTGGTTATCCATTCTTCTCCACCTATCCTGAACTTGTCACTGTTCCCTCAAATATACATTCTCTCATGCCTCCAAGCCTTTGTATAGTCCATTATCTCAGCTTGAAAAAAAATCTTTTACTTTTCTTTTGAGAAATTTCTACTCTTCCTTCCAAGTCCAGACTACATTTTAACTTCTTTTTTTTCTTTTTTTTAACTTCTTTTTTTTCATTTCAACTTCTCTAAGCAGTCTTAATCACTCTCACCTGTTTCAAGAACACTACTATTTACCTCCAGTAAGACATTTAAAATACTAAATTATGATTATTACGTTGGATGTCTGTATCTATGTACTAGAACACAGCTTCAACAAATATGAGAATTACATTATTCATCTGAAAATCCCCACCCAACCTAGGGGGTATAGTGCCACTCAATAAACATACACTGTGCAGTAAATAAAAAGCAAGCCCTCAATAAATATTTCTTGAATTAACTGAAGGAAATAAATTACCCTCATTCATTCCACAAAATGTGTAAGTGAAGTTAAGAATATATAAACGCTAATTCAAATATCACTCACATTTAACTCTATCGATAGCCAAGCTTTCAAACTCAATCAAAGATATGTTTTCAGAAGGTGGCTCCAAGTAAAACTGAAGGCTGTGAGGGTAGGAAGCCTTCCGTTGGTCACCTCCCAACCTCAGTTTTTTGCGCATTCCCCCTGAAAACTGCATCTCATTCCCCTGGAAGGAAACATAAAATGGTTAAAATGATGGCAAGTGGGGTTGACCACAAAAAAAAAGTGCAAAAAGAAACTTCACATATACAGAAAAAGAAAAAAAAAAAAACTAAAGGTCATGCATAAAATGTTAACAGTGATTATCCCTGGGTAATCTGTCTTTCTGCCTTTTCCAGATTTTCTACACCGGACCTGGCACAGTTCCGTAATGAGAGTGGGGGGAGGTGTATGCAGGTGGTAGCCATAACTTGCAGCGACAGCAAAGTCAGGCTATGTTACCTGTTCACTGTAAGTCTATGTGCCACCGCCCTTAGAGCTCTGCGGTCCCGAGAGTTAAGGTGGGATTTAACACGGGTTGCAATCCTGAATGTGGAAGAAAGCGCGGCAGGTCCTGGCTTTGCAGAGACTGAATGGACCGGGCCCAGTTACTTCCTACCTCAGAACCCTGGGAAACAGAACACGTCTAATCCAGTCTTTCCGGGCTTGTAGGAAAGCATCCACAAGCCCCTTATAAAAATCACCCGCCTCCATCCTAACCGAGCCCTTCTCAGGCGAAGCTTCTCTCCCCTCAACTCGCTGGCACCGGTGTCTGCCCCCAACCTACCAACCCCCAGTACCTTCACCCCACCATGTCATCCTTCGGCTCTCACCGCCCGCAAAGTGCTCTCCCTTCTTTCCCCACTTGGAAGCCTCAACACCAAGATTACTGTCCGTCCTAGAGCCGCAGGAGATCCTCTTACCTGCAATCACACCAAATACGAAAACACCACAAACCCCAACAGCCGCTTTCCTCAGATGGCGGGAGAGTTCGTATGGGACCGGAAACGGAAGTGACGAGCTACAGCGTCCCTTCGCACGTCCCGCCCACCCAGCGCGCGCCCTGCGCATGCTCCGTGCGGGGGCCCCCGGATTCCCGCGGGCTTGCCGCCCGCTTTGCCGGCCTAGCGTTTCTTAAACTCGGTGGTTTGTGTTTCCAGATTGCAAGCTGTACCTCCTGTACGTGCAACCGGGAGCTTTTGACGAGTGACACTGGGAAGGCTAGCGGTGGAAATTCCCACGCTCCCAAGAGCTTGGCGCCTTAACCCACCGGGTAGACCGATCGCTCTGGCGCTGGAGGAGGATGCCGCAATGGGCGATGGCTGAGCTCCCTTCTCACCTATTGGGGGGCTCTGTCCTCCCTTGTTTAATCTTTTCTGCGACCCTATAAGGTGGGTTGTATTACTCCCGTTTTAGAGAAGAGAAAATGATGAACGTTAGTTTGTCCATCTATGCACAGCACGTTCTGTGTTTTTTGTTTTTTGTTTTTCCTACGGGACGGCAAGCACCGTAAAGACAGATTCGACCTTCTTGGGTTCCCCACCCCCACCCTCACCCCCACCCCACGCCTCGCGCTTAGTAAGCGCCTCGCAAAATGGCTGGAGCTAGGATGAATGCACACACGCAGATCGCGCTCCGGGACCTGCAGAAATTTGAAGAGATCAGGCTCAGAGGGAAGAAGTAGGGGTCCATCGGAAGCAAGCGGTGGGTCAGAGCCACACCAACTCTCCAAATGAGATCTGTAGGGCTTTCGGGAGCTCGAAATAAGCTTCACTTGTGGCCTCTAGGAGGCGTGCCTCACTAAAGTGGCTGAAGAAAGATCTGGTGATCATTGCAGGTGAAGAGCGCTTTGAAAGGAAACGTCCAGATTTTTAGAAATGCAAAGTATATGGAAACAATACCGAACTTCAAAGCACCTGCCCATCGTGGATCAAACTGCGGCTAGCCCTGACTTTGTATCAGGGCGTGTTCTAAGTGATTTCTGCATCAATTCATCAATTCTCATAACTGTATGAGATAGGTTATATTATTAACCCATTTTACAGATAAGGAAACCACAGAAAAGGGCAAGAAGTTAAGTTACTTCAAAGATCGTATAAATGACAGGGCCAGGTTCAAAGTGAGGGAGACTCCAAGCACCACAGTGCTAACTAGCATACGGTACTAATTCCACGTTTTGACAGCAGTGCCTCACTTTAATTCTTTCCTCTCTGTATCAGACAACATAATTAACATAACCTGATACAAAGAAGACACCTGAAAACATGAGAACTGCCTGAAAAACCTAGAGCACAGACGATAGGAACATTTACGTCAATATTTATCTGATCTCTGGATAGGAAATTAATGTAAATAAAGTACAAAGAAATCTAAAGATTTGACTATAAAAATGTAAAATCGGGCATCTTAAACAAATCACAAAATTTTTTGCAGTCATCAAACTAGGGGAAAATGTACGATGACTAATACCATCAAAATGTAAAGAGCTTAAGTAAATTAGAAAAAAAATGCTGACAAAAACTGAAAAGTGGGAAAAGAACAGCAACAACTCCTAACCAATCATGAAATATGAAAAAGTGTTTGTTACTGACAGCAAAGAAATTATCCCCTACAAAATTGGCAAAGATTTTACAATGAAAATACTCAGTGCTGGGCAAAGTCCAGTACAATGAGCTCACATAGGAATTGTTGCGGTACAACAAGTCTGGAGTACGATATAGTAATGTGTATTATAAGCCCTAAAAGAATTCATACAGTTTAACTTAGATGAATCTGTTCAGAAATGGACACAAAAATTTGTGTTCGAGAAACTTCATTAAACCACTATAATAGTGAAAACCCAGAAAAAAAAGAATGAATAATAGTATAGTCCTATTACGAGACATTATGCAACCACTCAAAATACGTGTTTTTGAAGACTATTGACTTGGGAAAATGCTCAGGATACTATTAACAGCAAAATACAGAAAACCATACATGCCATAGGAGCCCAATCTTGTAAAAACATTACCTAATTGACAAGTCATTTTTCTTAAAGGTTTATTTATTCACAAGACACACACACATAGGCAGAGGGAGAAGCCGGCTGCATTCAGGTAGCCCGATGTGGGACTCAATCCCAGGACTCCGTGATCACACCCTGAGCCAAAGGTAAGCGCTCAACAGCAGAGCCACCCAGGCGATCCAACAAGTCATTTTTAAACTACTTTTCCCTAGTAAATCAAATTTTAGAAATTTTGGAAAATGTCAAAAAGAAAATCCACCTATGATGCGGCAATCTGCTTATACTGTCACCCAGGGACAGACACTGTTAACATTTTGTTTTAAGCAATAAAATTGCATGGTTGTTGAGAATGAATGAATGAAAGTTGCTCTTGCCATACTAGTACATTTTCCTACAATGCTTCTCACTTCCACCAGGGGGCAGCCCTCTGCAACTCCTGCTTCGTACCTCCACTAGTGCACCAACCTCCAACCTACCCCCCCTTACTATCTGGGCAGCCACTCTGAGATACTAGGTGCAAGACAGCCACTCTGAGATATACTTAGTTTTTATTTCACTTAGCTTTATCCTTAGTCCAGTAGTAAAGCATCCCACCTTTAACTTAAATGTCAATACCTCTTTCTCTACAATAGTTAATATCTTTTATAGTTCTTTGGACTGTTAAGGAAATTAGTCTCCTGGGGCATCTGAGTGGCTCAGTGGTTGAGCTCCTGCCTTTTGACTCAGGGCGTGATCCCGGGGTCCTGGAATCCCTGCGAGGGCCTGCTTCTCCCTCTGCCTGTGTCTCTGCCTCTCCTCTCTTTGTGTCTCTCATGAATAAATGAATAAAATCTTAAAAAAAAAAAAAGTCTCCTACAAACAAACATGTTTTACCTTAATGGCAACTAAGCCATTAGCAGTGAGGTAGACTATGGGACATTTTATGGTATTTTTAAGGTTCTGTTTTAATCATTCAAAAACATCTGAAGGCTTTCCACAGCATGGCCCCAAGATTTGATCATCTTATTGCCTACCACTACCCTCCAACATATGCTCTGAACTACTAGCTCTTCCCCAAAAGGCCTTGTACTTACCTACTTTGTGTCTCCAAAAGCCCTAACTAACCAGCCCTGCCGTAAGAATTCTACCCATACTTCAAGTAGTCAACTGCTGCCTTCTTCCATCCTATTGAGCCTTTGCTTATAGGTTGCTCCTCATTTAAACCACCATGATCTCTGTAATTCCATATAGTACAATGAGAATGTGAACCACTGGATGATTTGATGAACACACTGCTCAGAACACTCTCCTTTGGTCACTACCTCACTGTGAAGAGTTTTCTGTATCCAGAGGCAATTATAATACACATCTACACATTTCAGTATGAATAATGCTCAATAATGTTATCCACTTCAGTGACCATATTTGGTAAATCACTGCAAGCTCTTTCATGTATTTATTTCATTTTTTAAAGATGGATTAACACAATGCTCATCCCTGGCAACCAAGATTCACATAAATTATAGACCTCAACCTCATAATCTGGTTATGGAGACTGGAGGTGGAAAAACATATAAACATATAACCTTTATTTCTGCTAGACCTTAAGCATCTGAAAAGCAGAGATCAGTGTGTCATTCATTTTTGTAACCCCAGTATATGGCACTCCAAGGTCCCCAGCAAATATTAATTATACTGAATTAACGTAAAATAGGAAAGATTTATCAAAAGACTGATGGGTTCAGCTTGATATGCAACAGATGGTTTGAATCAAAGGTGGCTCCAAAATATAAAACTTCAAGTCCTCATCTGAAAACTTTATACACATTCCTTCCAGAATGACTTGGCTCCGCGGTTTAGCCTATAATAAGCACAGAGTACCGTCTCTGACGAAATTTCCATGAATCATCACTGCTTAATTCAGTGCCTGCCCTGGACTTTACCCAGCTACAGTCAGGCTATCTCACAGGGCATTCACTCGCAGATGACTCCACAGGTATCAAGAGTTCTGTCCTGTATTGTGTCACACTTAAAACTAAAATTTTAGTTACCATGCTTGGTAAGTCAAAGTGAGTGCCCATTCTTCCCCTGTTCAGGGTGTGCTACCCTAAAAATCAAAGGTGTAGTACATTTCTTTACACAGTGAGGACTCTATAAACTCTAGATCTAGCCAGTTCTGTTTGCCATGGAAAGCAAAGACAGAAGGCATTTCCAGCACCATAGCTGACCCAGAAAATAAGACACAGCTAGGCAACACTGATACCTCCACCCTTTTCATTTCACTGCCCACATCTGGGACATGGCAAGGAAAGAAACTTAAAAGAGCACTTCATTTTCCTCCCTTCAGATTGCCTTTATTCGTCCAGCATCAAAGAGCAAGAGAACCAGAGAAAAAGTATATTCTTAAAGGATAGTAAAGGAAGAAAAGAATACCCTTCCACATATAAGCCTTATCTGATTTGTTTTAGAAATACTAATTCAGTACCTACTAAGTGCTAGGCAATGTTTTCTATGCTGGGGATACAACAGTGATGAGATAGCCAAAAATCCCTGCCTTCATAAACCTTATCTTCTAGTGGGAAAGAGAGACAACAAAATAAGAGAAGTCTACACATGATGATGTTAAATAATAACTACTAAGCAGAAAGAATAAAGCAGAGTAGAAGGATGTAAAATTTGGATGGATGGCACTGGAGAAGGCACTGAAATTTTAGAAAGGGTAGCCAGGAAAGACTAGCTAAGGACATGACAATGAAGCAGAGACCAGAAGAAAATTAGAGATTGAGTCATACGTATCTTTAGGAAAATAGCATTTCAGGCAGATGGATGGCATATCATAGTTCCATAGTATTTAAAACAATGTGATATTGGGACAGGAATAGACAGATCAACCAAAGGAACAGAAAATAGAAACCAGAAATGGACCCACACATATGAAGAAACTTGGTATAGTACACATCCACTATACAACTCGGAGAAAAAAATGGACAATTATAAATGATGCTGGGACAACTGGC